GTTGTTGTATTTGTTACCAATTTTTTTCAAAACCGATTTATCTCGCAAACCGTTCATTTTTTCGAAATAAATAAAGAGTACCATTTTTAAAGAAAAACCTTCAGAGTATCTAATAATAATATTTTCAGTTTGATAAAATTACTTCTGTCAAAATTTTGAGAAAAATTGTGATAGGGCCAGTCCGTTTCTGGACACCTGATAATAGCAAAAAGTTGATTTTAGCATCAAATCGTAGAGCTCCATGTGTAATACAACGTACGAAAATTTTATTAAAATATACAGGGTGGTTTCAAAGTTATAACCCTAAACGTTAATTTCTAGGTACCCCTTTGACCCCCCATAACTCCGTTAGGGGGCACATTAGGAAAAAAAATTATAGGAAGGACTAGTTTTATTTTGACCTCCCCTATACACTCCCGAGAGATTAGGAGGTACTTACCGGACACCCTGTATATAAAGACCAAATGGCTTGGTTAAAAAATTTAAAAGGAAAATTTTATGCAAAAAATCGTTAGTAAACAATTTGAAATTTTTTTTTTATTTTTTTTTACTTTTTGCCTCTAGTTTTTTTTAGTAAAGATAGGTATAAGCATTACTTCATAAAAAAAATAGATAAAATTTCCTTTCCAATTTTTCGATTTTCGTCGCGTTTACCCTTATACGTTTTAATTCTCATTTTTCGAAAAAAAGGAAGGAAATGAGAGGTTCATCACATGACTTGTTCGAAGGGTCATTAAAAATGAAAAAACCGTGGGGTGCTATTAAATTAGAGGGTTGAAATTGAAGATAGGGGTGAAAATGCACTTTTGCAGTTTTTTAAATATAGCACGAAAACGAAGCAAAATTTCGATATAGTTCATAGGAAAAATTTTGTAGAGAATTGAATTTCCCATCGAAATGGCTTATTTAAAAAATTTAAAAGAAAAATTATATGTAAAAAATCGTTAATAAACCATTTTTAAAAAAAGCAACGACTTTTTGCATAAAATTTAATTTTTTAAATAAGCCATTTCGATGAGAAATTCAATTCTCTAAATAATTTTTCCTATGAACTATAGCGAAATTTTGCTTCGTTTTCGAACTACAATTAAAAAAGGGGTGCATTTTCACCCCTATCTCCAATTTCCACCCTCTAATTTAATAGCACCCCGCGGTTTTTTCATCTAAAATGACCCTTTGAACGATTCATGCAATAAAATTGCTTGAACGTCATAATTCCTTTTAACCCTGTTTTTTTTATATAATCAATAGCCTATTATTTTTGTGGTATGTAATATGAAAGCTAAATCTAAAAAATAGATTATTTGCAATATTAGTAGCGCAATTTTTTTAAGGTTTACCATAGTGGTGACTACACGTCACTGACTCTTAGTTTTCAGGTGGTTCCCCATGGAGGAGTAGCAATTGACAGTAACATTTCCTACACCAAATTTCAAAACAAACTGTTAATCGTTCTGGGAATATTAAGGAAATACTATTGCTTTATGAACTTGAACACCTTGTATATGTGAAGAGGAATTTTGGAACACAGATTTATTTGACGAATTATTCTGTTGTCTCTTAAATTTTTTTACACTTATGACTCACCCTATACAGGGTGTTTCTTAAATAAGTGCGTTCCGTGAAAAGGGCGATAAGGGCGCAAAAATGAGCAACTTTTATTAAGCAACTGATGGTGTAAATACTTCCGTTTTCGAGAAAATTAATTAAGAAAATTAACAATAAAAGTAAACCGACCCTGTGCATCTTGCGCACGTGTAAGTCCAGAATGCTTCGGACTCGCTTCTCTAATTCGCTGACTTTCCATGTGACTTCCGCAATCAAGCAAATCTGATGGTAGGTCAGTATATATTGTGTTCTTTAGTTGCAGAATTACTTAGCCGGCGTATAGAATGTTTTCTGATCAAGAACTAGCAGATATGGTATTAATGTACGGAGAATGTCAGTACAATTCAAATGAGACTTGCCGTTTGTATGCAGTCCGTTTCCGTAACAGACGACAACCTAACGGTAGAACAGTGCAAAATGCAGTTCAAAGGTTACGGGATACCGGGAATGTCCACCTGAGATAGGAAGATCGTGGAAGAAAACATCATAAACCTCGTTGAGGAAGATCCGAGGCGCAGTGCTCGCAACATTGTCCGAGAAGTGGGTGTATTTAACAGTACCGTGTGGTGTGTACTATGGGAACAATTATTACACCCATGTGGAGTTTGCCAGTGGTTTCTACATCAAATAGCACAAGATCCGGATTTTTCGAACAAGGTGCTTTTCACGGATGTTGTTTTACTATTGACGATATACTAAATTTTCACAAAGTTCACTATTGGTATGACGCAAATCATCACGTTGTACAGAGATCTCTGTTCCAGCAAAGGTTTTCAGTGAATGTGTGGTGTAGTGTTTTTGGTGACAGATGACTCGGCCCGATAGTGTTATCTGCACGTTTAAATGGAACTACTTATTTAGAGTTTTTAAGAAACGCCTTACCGGATTTGTTGGAAGACAAATCCGTGCCCAAATGTTTTTCAGGCATGATGGTGCCCCTCCCCATGTTTCTCGTGCAGTTTGTGAATTTTTACATATCAACTTTCCGGAAAGGTGGATGAAATGGCCTTGTACGTTGGCCAGCACGAAGTCCGGATATGAACCCTCTGGATTTTTTTGTTTGGGGACGTATGGAACAATATGTATAGCGAAGGCCTATTGTCGATGCAGCAGATTTTCAACAGCGTATTTTTGCTGCAGCTAATGACAAATGCCGCACTATCGGTCAAACGGCATTTTTTTATGTCAAAATCAAATATCTCAAGAAGAATTAACGAATCGTTTTACATTTTTTTTTAAATTAAAGCTTATTTGTGCAGATTTAGGGAAAATTATTGCGAATGTCATCATCCCCTATTCTGGGGGTGGAAATGAAGGGTGAATAGGTGAAAAAAGTGAAAATCGGTTTTCTTCGTTCAAAAATCTTATATCTTCGATAAATAAAGTGAAATTAAGACACATTTTGGTGGAATCAATGCTCGATTGAAACAAGTTAATGAAAAATTAATTGAAAATATATTCATCCCTATTTTAGGGGTGGAAGTGAGGGGTGAGGATGTGGAAAAATGAAAATTAAAGACAATATGCATGAAAGGTCTTTGTTGTCACTGAACACGAATAAAAGCATCACTAAAACAAAAAACTCTTTTTTAGGAGCTGTTTTTATCATCCCCTAATTTAGGGGAAGAACTGAGGGGTGGGAAATTCATCGGAAATATTACCAGTCTTTCAATTTGCTGAACTTAAATATACAAATTATAAAAACGTGTACAGTATATTGTGTTCAGAGCTGTAATTTTGTCTTGTTATAAGAGAAACTGCGTTTTGATACAGAAATGAATGTTTGCTTACTGTAAGCATACACTTTTTCTTACAGTAAGCTAACCAATTTATGTAAATTATATCAAAAATCAACAAAACTATTATCGGAGGTTTTTGATGTTCACTAAACATTAATCTGACATGTTTTTTTCATTATCCCCTATTTAGGATAGGAGATGCATTTAAGAGGCATCTAACTTATATTCCAGAATCATCCCCTATCTCAGAAGTGGCCTTTATTATCCTCTAGTTCAATGGAAGAATTATACCCTCACTTCCACCCCTAAAATAGGGATGAAAATATTTTCATTAATTTTTCCTTAACTTGTTTCAATTGAGCATTGATTCCACCAAAATGTGTCTTAATTTCACTGTATTTATCGAAGATTTTTGAACGAAGAAAATTGATTTTCACTTTTTTCACCTATTCACCCTTCATTTCCACCCCCCAAAATAGGGGATGATGACATTCGCAATAATTTTCCCTAAATTTACATCAATTGAGCTTTAATTTAAAAAAAATGTAAAACAATTCGTTAATTCTTCTTCGAGATATTTGATTTTGACATAATAAAATGCCGTTTGACCGATAGTGTGCCGGAAGTATTTGCGGATTAATTTTAACCGTATGTTTATTAGCACATGGATACAACTTTGGACAATTTTTGTAGAGCATATCGTCTATTGGCAAGTAATTCGTTTATTCGTTTAATTGTTGTGTTACTTTCAACGAGATTTGAATAAATTTCAGTATTTCGAACACGAACTTTGAACCGTCAAAACCGTCATCAGCGCTTTCGTACTGCGGCGCGCGGTAGCTTCGATATCAAAGGTACAGCTGGCTGCCACACCAGCGCCGGCTTTAAATTGGTTTAAACGTTCATGTGAAAAAAATTTTTTTCAATTTAAAACCTAATGTTTTAGACCATCAGTTGCTTAATAAAAATAGCTTATTTTCGTGCCCTCTATCACCCTCTTCAAGCAACGCGCTTATTTCAGAAACACCCTGTATAAACGTGCGATACATTAAAATCAAATGTTTTTTAATGCGGTTATTACTTCTGAACTCGCGAAATGGATGATACCTTGGGAATTTCCGCCAAATTAAACCATAACCTTCTTCATTTACTCATGACTTACTTTTTGCAGAGGTGTTCCAGTTCTCTTGCCCTAAGGTCGACGAGAGCGCGGCCGCGACTCACCCTCGTTACGCCGACCCGGAGGACTGCCAGTTCTTCTACGTTTGCATCAACGGAGACACACCCAGAAGGAACGGTTGCAAGCTCGGCCAGGTCTTCGACGATCAGAGCAAGAAGTGTGACTGGGCGAGGAACGTCCCTGAATGGTAAGGATATCTCATTTACTGGGTTAATGTCAGCGAAACATTCAGAAATTTATTAATTAAGGAAAAGGATTAGTCGCCTTCGATGTCTGTGGGTTTGGTTTCATTAAAATTGCAATAGTTCCAGGGACGGCTCGACAAAATATTCGCGTTTGTTTTATTTTTCCATTTATTTGTGATGTGTGCCAATCTGGAAAACCCGAAAATGCTGGAATTATAAGGGAATTCCTCAGGTTTTGAGGTGTCCGGGAACTTTTCAAACTTTTTTTTCAAATTTCAGTTGTAACTTATCTTTATTTACAAGTTGCTGCCACTAGATACCACGTCGATGAAAAATAAGTTCTTATTAATACTAATTTTACGCCATCTATCTGTACCATCTGTGTCGGATATTTGTCGATCTGTCTTTAAGGACATATCATGTAACGCCATATTTAATTATCCCTGTACAATTGGAATCTTGGAAACCATTCCATATATAGGGTGTTTCAGGAGATGTACATACTTCAGTATATTATTTTCCGTCCAATTTTAAGCAAAAAATTCCCTATGAACTTAGGTCTGGAAACGCTTCGTTTGGATATACAGGATGTCAAATAAAAAAAAATTAATTACATTTTCTTTAATAACTCTCGACCACTTTTAGTTAAATTCATGAAATTTTGTATGCGGAGGTTTCTTGGCACGGAAAATTCAAATTTTATGGACGATTGGCTGTATCGCCCAGAGGGCGCCACAAGCGACCATTAGGATCTTTTAAATCGCTTCAACTTTTTTGTGCCACCGTGTATGTCATTTCGAAATAGACATTTCCCCTATCTTTTCTACACATGGCATGGGATTCACGTTTAACCGTGGTGCTATTGCCGCGCGCCCGTTTTTATTGCTGGCTGGCCTATTGCTATTGCTGTACGTTACTACATCGCTATAACACCCTGTACTTACTGGGAAAAAAGAACTTAATTGGAAGAAATAAAATTTATAGAGCCAATTAAACAACTTATTTTCATTTGACGAATCAAAGATTTCTTTGTAGCTAATAAGACATTTTTTGAACATAAATATCTACTAAATATTTTCTTAAAAAAATACGCACCTTTAACAGAAGTGTGTACTTATTTAAGTAAAAAAAGAAGTGCACATAAAAATATTCTTACAACTTTTAATAAAAATTTCCCAAACAAGGAGAAAACTAGTAAAGAAAATGAAGGAATTATAATACCTGTTCTAATACTATTTTTTTTAAGTTAGTCCTTTAAAATCAACCTTTTCCTGAATGCAGTCAGAAAAACGAATTCAGCTTCAAATAAATATACTATAAAAATATGTATATTTACAACTCTTGGACTTGTATTTGGACTAACATAATATTCTTAAAAAAAATTATGTGGAGTTATTTAATTCTTCAATACAACATTTTGAAAAAGATGAAAATAAATTATTCACTTATCACATTTATACAATTCCTATCATATTCTCATTTTTGGAAAATAATTAACAATAAATATTTAATATTTTCAAGAAATGAAAGCTTATTAGTGTCAATCAACTTTTCAGGTTCGTCGTCTAATCTCTCATCGATATCTTTCGCCCTTTCCTACTCGCATTTATTCTACAAAGTGATTCATATACCATAGTATTGGAAGTCTGAAAAAATTGACAATTTACTAAAATATTTGCTCTTTTACAGTCAAAAATATAAATTTTGTTTACTAAGTGGACTCACAACCTGTTGGTGTTTTGCAAACACCTCCCTATCCTTGCTTGGTTTGTTGACCTGCTTGGAACAAACATATCTTTCACTGTCCTTTTATGCCTCCCATTTACGCCAAAACGATTTATGTGTTACTACCTGTTGATGTGGAATTTTTTATCTGTACTGTAATAAAATAAATATTTTTTTATTATAGCGCCGACTGGTACAAAGGCCGTCTTACCGAACAACAGCTTGCCGAATTGGAAAACCCTCCTACTCCTAGACCCAGAGCTACCAAAGTAAGTAAAAGGAAACACCAGAGGCCAAGAGTAGAAGAGTAATATAAATTTATTTAGATTTAATGTAATTCTTTTTTTTATTGTTACTTATTTTTTAATAAACAATTGAAAATAGAAGCCAAAACTTTCTTTAGAAAAGAAGCAATAAAATCTGACTAAAAATGATTATTTCAAAATACAAATCTGTAATTTATTACATAGAAAAGATAATTTTTGAAATACAGGGTGTTTCTTAAGTTGGTGTTTTTCTTTAGACATAGATCTCAACAAAGTAAGTAAAGTTTTAAAATACAGTTTTTTCAAAATTTCATAAATAAAAGAAAAGCCATTTATATTTTTATATTCAAATTATATTCTCTTCTTTTGTTTTTTTCTGTCTTATACCGCGTAACGACCCTGTTTAAATAAAAATTGTGAATGAATCTATTGACATTAGTATACACTGTAAGAGAAATTGGATTTATTTTCACTCAATTGCACTCAATAATATATCAATTTCTGCCCACACCCACGGCCGTCTTCAACTAAGTTAGTTAAAGTTAGTTAAAGACGGCCGTGCCACACCCCATTGATGAGTACAACAAAAATTTTATGAGTGAAACTATCAGTTTTAGTTCAAATATTATCAAAAATGTGTAAAATTATCAAAATGCTCAATATTGAGTGAAAATGTACTCAATAATCTCACTTAACGGTTCACTCAGGATATTTTTGCTTTCACTCATACCTATTTATTTACAGTGTACGCGTATTGTTGTCAAAACGCTGCCACAGCATCGCAATTGCATGCTAGCTTTTCTGTTGTAATCCCGCGGCTCGTAGGTTTGTTTATATTATTCAAAGGGCTAGAAAAACAGGACACCTATAGGAAAATTGTAGTGTGGATATCAGAAAACCTAGGTCACCTAGACTGCTTCAGAATGAAGATGTTTTATGTCGTTAATGAGAATCCAACAACCATACTTCAGTGCCAAAACAATAGGCAGTGATTCATTCTCAATATGTAGACTCTTGTAACAGGTTCTTTTCGTGGATTATGGTAAGGCGCATTATCCATGACAATCACTGCACCGGTTTTGATGTGAGGCAAAATAGATAAATCATTTTTCCAATACTTCTCTATAGATATCCTCATGGTAATCTCCAATTCGTTGCCACTCGAACACATGTAAACCATTATCACCACTGTCCAAAAATCTGCATTCACTTGTGATATGTGTAATTACACAGCCACACAAATTTTCAAAAAATAAGATTCGCGCCAAATTTATATACGGGGGTTTTCGGGGTCGCTGATCACGGATCCGAGGTCAATTTTGCAAAATTCAAGATGACGGATCCAAGATGGCCGACCAAATTTTCAAAAAATAACAGATTCGCGCCAAATTTGGTGTACGGGGGCTTTCGGGGTCACTGATCACGAATATGAGATCAGATTTACAAAATTCGTTTTTAAAAATGTAATCAGTTACCTATATACTTTAAGAAGGTTAAAACATGATTGGGTACTCAGGTTATAAAGTAAACAAAAATATTACAAAATGAATTTCGCAATTCTGACCCCGAATTCGTAATCAGCGACCCCGAAAACCCCCGTATACCAAATTTGGTCGGCCACTTTGGATCCGCCATCTTGAATTTTGCAAAATTGACCTGGGATCCATGATCAGCGACCTCGAAAACCCCCCTATATCAAAACTGACCTGTTTTTTGAAGATAGAAAAAGAATCATCAATTTTGACAACGCGGATTCACGTTCGGCGGAGTCTTAACCATATAAATGATCATTTGAATATAGAAAAAATAATTTTTTCTACATTTCCTAGCACTTTTTCGTGGATTTTTGCTATTTTTGACCTGTTTTTTGAGGTTAGGAAATTTCTGTGATGTGATAGCTCAATTCTGACACCGGATTCGCGATCAGGAGGCAAAAATACTACGGATAACATATGTCGCATGAAAAGTACAGACCACTTTTTTTGTGTGGCTGTGTTATTATTATTAATAATAACCATCTCTTCCCAGTAGAAAATCATCTAAAAATGCTTCAGTTCATAATATTTAAACCTGTCAAACCTTGAATATAAGATACAAAATTTAATTTTCAGGACAATCTAGACCAATCCTCGTCGCTTGCAATTGAAATTTGAATTTTCTCTAATGTTGTAAGTTCATTTTTATAACAAAATCCGATAAAATCAGTGAATCCTCTTAGCACCAATTTTCAACTTTTGTTGAGAACTGCACATTTCCGCATCATTTACTGACATATCTGCATTCAAATTCTTTTATACTAATCTCACTTTCAAGTTGGTCAATAACACCCACACCAACTAAATGAGAAAAAAATTATAGTACGTCTTTTCTACGCTTGTATACTTATGACACGCACTGACACGATTCTGCTAGCTAAGAACTGAGGCAATTAAACTCTGCAGGCTCGGTTGTTTCTCTTTTTATAGAAATAGGTGCTTGCAACAGTAGAACGTAACAGAACGTTATTCTATTCACACTACACTGAAAGAAATGGGCTTATTAAACTGTTTATCTAGAATAATGTGTATAGCGCATATTAAAACTTTTATAACCAATATACAACTTTTATTAAAAAAAAGCAATCATCTCCATACTCATTATTCAATGAGTTTAACTGGAAGGTGCTTAATACACCTTATGCATCTATGAAATAAAGGTTATAATGAATTACTTATACATTATTAGGTGTTATAGACTTTATGTTCCAATTGTATAGTAGGGAAGATTTGTTGTATAAAGACCAGTATCCGAATTTGTATATAACAATTATATTAACAGAATTATTCGTTCTTATACTGAATATGTTTCCGTTTTTAACGTGTAAAACGCGTCTTATAATGGTTAAGTGATCGTCACCTCTCCGTGCATAATCGGTTATGATCGTAAAATTTCCGACAGTCCGCTGTGCATCGACTTACGAATATTACACGTCTAGTTTGATGAAAATAGACGGTATAGGCACATGTTTTGTGGGATACATGATCATATCGCGTTGTGTGAAATGGAAAATTATGTAAGTATCTAATTGTTTTATGGCTTGTAATTGTTTTGTTTTTCAAATGTAAATCTTGTCTAAATCTTAAAAATTATTATCTTGTAGGTATGCCCTATTAGAAACCGCTGATGGAAGTTTTACATAAGATGGAGGAACAGAACGCTAGCGGTGACAAAGAGGAGCATGGGTATAAAGTCAATCAACCAGAGGGAATAGAATTAGAAGGAAAGATGTTCAACCTTTCAGGGGATGCTTCATTCTTAAGGTGGAAGAGTTATAGTGCAAATTCTCATGTAATACAAGAAAATACGGGTGCATCGTTACTAAGAAAATAAACTGGACAATTTTGGGAGCGATTTGTCATCATTTTTAATGCTTAAAAGTATGTTTTGTGTATGTTTACATTAGAACCTTAACTTGTAATTACAGTTATCCAATAAAATTTCTGAAAACTTAGTCATATATTTTTAACTCATACAGAGTATACAACAGTTTAATACATTTATTATTATAGAACTTATAACCAGTACTAGAAGTTCTAATAACTATATGGAACACTTTAATAACAGTTATTGCTATTATTTCGTAAATGGTATAAAAAACGTTCTATAATAGTTATACAATAATTTAATAAAGAATAAGGTTTATAGTCACTATACAACTGTGCTAGCAGTACGCGTTTTATATCCAATATTCACCTGTTTAACTGTCACATATAGTATACAATGGTCTTATAAGGGCATATAGAATTCTAATAAAGAATACAGCGCATTTCTTTCAGTGTACGTGCAACAAATTTAAACATTTATGCCTCAAGATCATTTTACAGAGTACAGGTTTACTTGCAATGAAATAAATAATTTCCGAAACGGCAAGTACGCACTATGCAAAATTCCCAACAGAATTTTTTTTTATTTTTTTGGGGTTTAGACTGTAATGGCATAATTACTGGCTCCTTGCTACGATTGCCCACTCATGGACATGGTAGCATACTAAAAAAAAAAAACTAAAAGGGGCGAGACTGCTAGCTATATATAGCCTTTTTATTTGTGACTGATCGGTTGCAAAGTTAGCAGAGAGTCCGGCAGCTCAGTGAGATCGGGCGTGGAGGTGCAGTCTCTATCTCTGCTGGTGCATCAAGGCTACGATAACTAAACGAAAATTATAAAATAACGAGAGTATAGTAACTTTAAGATTTACTGTAATGAAAAGGAAAAAAAAATTCAATTAACTATGACTAATAACTGCTTTGATTGGTCAAACTATGATCATAATAAGAATAGGCAATAGGGGGTGGCACTAGACCCAAAACGGTTACAGAATCGTACCAGTACGTCCCCGTTTGTGTTACAAACTAATGGTATATATTTTAGTACAATTAATATGAGGAATAAAAAGGCCCCCCCGTAGTATATACTATGAGGTTTACATGCGTATTGTTGTTAAATATAATGTAATATTAAATGACAATAAATTATTTGAGGGCTTCTTTCAATAAAATGGTAAACCATTTAAGGGCGTGGCTCCGCCGGGTGAATCTTGGAACAACTAACGAGTAACGTAAAATGATATAAATTATAAATATGACCTTTGGTTGCGGCTGGTGTTTCGTTTCCTCAATCTCTGATTATCTTACTGGGTGTTATCAAATTATTGGGGCTGCTAGCTCCACGATGTATTATGTACGTCGGTCCCAAAATGGACGACCATGGACAATCACAAAGAAAAGGCCTAGAAATGAACGGAGTTATTGCGGGCAATAAAGGCAGTGAGGGTGAATAGATTCACTTCCTCAAATTTGTATAAACGGCTCTCATTAAAACCAAAATGTGACAATTCGCTTTACCTGAGATGTTTTGCGGCCTTTCTTATTAAGTCCTGTTGCACTTCACACCAAAAATCCTGACACTAATCTGCGTTCTAGCTACAACGACAATAACCGGTGGTCGCAGTGCAACGGATTATTTAATTAATCAACTGGGGTAGATCCGCAATTTTGCGTTTTGACTGCTTTCTTTCAAGCCTAAATACCAAGTCTGTCTTTAATTTTATTTCAAGCCGCAAAAACTTATCGTCTTTTTGCCCATACTCGGCGGTGATAGAATTATAAAGCCGTTCATTTCTAGC